CTTCATTACCAAGACATTAAGTGCTGCTTTCTGAGCGATGAAGCTGTGGCAGGGGCTGAGTGAAAGGTGGATTTATGGGGGTGTGGAGTTCAGCATTGCATCTGGGCCATAATGAGGTGTCAGCTGAGTTGACATCTCCTGCTGAASTGGGTTTTATGTGTACCCTGGCTTGGGTTTGTAAATAATAAAGATTTTAGTGTCATTACTCCCTGTTAGTGTACACGGGCTCTTCAGCTCGTGCTCGCTCTGCAGGAGCAAACTTCTCACATAAATCACTGGAGRAAGGGCTTTGTCCTTTCAAGAGAATTCAGGAGATGTTAAAATTTAATGATTCTGATCCGACTCCTGTTTCATAACTACCTCTTTAATAAGGCAATCTAGGGCTTTGCAAARCCTGCCCCAGGAGAACTATTATCGTATTTTTTCACTGTTATTGCAGTCTTAAATAAAAGCAGAATGGGGTTTGAGTTCGAGCAGGGCCTGGGAAGATCCCAAATCCCTTGGGTGGTGAGGAGCCCTGGGGAAGGGAGGGACACATCTCCTTTTGTGTGGCCTTTTTTTAAGATAAATGTACAAATTTTGACATCTAATTTTTGTCTTGTTATTCTGCAGCATTTGCTTTACATTTCCAGATACTACAGAAAGAATAATAATGGGGGTTCTGAGGGTTTTTGGTTTTGCTTTTTCTTCTTCTGGCAGGAGCTGCTCAGTCTGCTCCAAGTATGGAAGTGTCARGGCTTTCTGGCTCCTTGATGCTCACAGATCATCTTCCATTGCACACACAGGGAAATCCAAATCAGCTGCTAATTTCTCCCTCCGTCTCTATTGACTAACCTGAGTTCTCAAGTGCCTGCATACAAATCTGGGTGCTGCTTGGAATTTAAAGCATAACCACAGACTTTCCTCCCCGATTCCAGCAGATAATTAAGTTTGGAATGAGGAAAACACCACTTGTTATGGTTACACCTAAAACGATGTCTCTGATCCTCTCTTTTTAGTGACCAGGGTTGGGAGAAAGAGCTATGAGAGGTCAGAAAAAAAYCCCAAAAAGACAAAAATACCCCMAGCTGAATTGAGGTTGTGTATAAAACATTATGATTCTTCGTTTTGATAGCAGAAAAGATGTGGGAGGAAGTGAAATTAATCTGCTGTTAATATTGGGCAGAAATGCTCGTTCCTCCT